AGGCAAGCTTACAAGGACCCTCCACCGGGTGGCAAGGCGCCACACTAATTGCTGTTCATTATCCCCGGCTCCACTGAAAGCTAATTAGCGTACACCACTATAATCGCCCCCACTCCACTGACAGATAATTGCCCTCTTCCCCATCCTTTTTCATTGCCCTTTCTAACCCCTTGACAACCTGATGATTTCTGACAGTTGACTGGCCTATGGCCACTATAATTACCCCCTTTTTGGTTGCTACTTCTCATCTCTGAAGATGGACTCCCGTAAGAGTTCGAAAGCCCAGAACAATAAACCAATTGATCCGGTGCTCGAAATGTCTTCTTCCTTGTCTATGCAAATACCTGGAACGCGAACCTTTTCATTCATTCGGGAACAACATAAACTTCTCCCGTTGAACGCTCTTCTTTATTCAAACAAACAACATTATTGTGACCCATACTCGTCTTTGGAATCTGACCCGAGAAACCCCAAAAATGTCCACTTTTAGATCTAAATTAAAGTGCCCACTGCGCGAACAATCACGAGACATGTTCTAATTTCGTCGGTGAATACAAACATCTTAGGGAAAATGAACCTCAACTTCAGAGGGAAAAGCCTTGATAACCTAAAGTTGAAAGCTGCAGAAATTGCTAGCGCAAGTATACAGGGTCATACTGGGTCCCAAACAGGCTGTGTGAGACACTTACCTCGTCGTAGGAGAGTGGGCCGAGTAGGGCTCGAAGGGAACAGAACTGCCCGGAGGATCCGAACAAATGCAGATCATTTTTGAACGAGGTTATCGACGAGGGAGAATACGGTGAGGAAGGACTTCTGTTAGAAGGAGAAAAGGGCAAATGGGCAGCCGTGATGGTGCGCTCGGGCGAAGAGAGCGAATTTAGAGGGGGTTCAGGATGAGCAATCGATAGAGCCCCGCAGAAGTTCTGAAGGCCTGCATATTTTTCAAGGCCGTTGTAGGAGAGGAGTTTCAGCAGGGTACGGGTATTAAGGGCGGGCAGGATCACGGGTTGAGGTTCAGAGTCCCCGGGGGTCAGTCGAGCGACTAGTGCTACGTAGCTTAATAGGGAATGAGGTAAATAAATTCTCAGTGACATTTAATGCATGCCAGCTTGAAATAGCTCACAGTTTTGAAGTATCAATAGCCTGAACACCATGCACGAATTCCTTGGCTGACACCTTTGGACTTGTCAGGATCACCCAGCTCGTAACAAATTGATTGCTTGTCTCCTTTTAACCTCCAGATTTATTTTCTAGTGCAGTTTTAGTAGAGGAAAGATAAGCGAACGCCTCTGAAGTCCTTATTTTTTACAAAGTGGCTAAAAAAAGCATGAACATACGAGAAATTTTGAGAAAAAATTGTTAGAATAATTGCCGACGAAAAGCTAGCAGGCGTCGACTGCTCAAAAAGAATGAACATAAACAATTGCATATTTAGTAGAGGGAGATTGAACAGACTATTGGTCATACTAAAGCCTTTCCCTTGCCGGCGTGGGTTCGAACCCCACCGAGGCTGCCGAGTTTTCACAAACGGCTCAAATTGACTACTTTTTACCATGAGTAGCATAATGATATTTAATTAATTGGCTTTTTACACCTAACTGGGAAGTGAGCAGTTCAGTCGGGTATGGGCAGTTATAGTGTTTCTTCTACCTCAACTGCAACTGACTGAATGGTGCACCCGACGTGAGCTTTTGGTCGGATCTACAACTGCCATTTTTGCAGCATTCATCGATCCAGTTCCGTCTATCCAGTCACGGAGTGTGAAGCTCCGAGCAGTTCGTAGTAATATCGAGTTCGGCGTCGGCACGACAATAATAATAATAATAATAATAATAATAATAACTATAGCAAGGTTTCCTCATTTACAGAATTTTGTGTTAACGGTTGCCCACGCACCATTTGCTTTCCAAGAAACAACCAACACTTCATGCAGTTCGTATCACAAGAAAGTACTCGCTGCAGCAGGAAGGTAGTGGCTGCAATCGGCTGTGTCAACATAAATTATGACAAGAATGCC